TATATATATATATATATATATATATATATATATATATACATATATATATATATATAAGATTCTTTGATATAATTGATATGTGTTCTATATATTATATGTATATGTAAAAGTTTACATATATTATGTATGGCGTAACATAACCCCGTTTATATTGCATGCAATACGGTGGAGGTAGACCGTATATGCTGGGATCCGAAAGATGTTGAACTATACCTGAGCAGGATGAAGTCTTATTTTTTTAGGAACGGAATTGCGAATTACGTATGGCGCTTCAAAGTGTTATGAAATATTTTAAACGTAAGGAACAAATGAACAATGTAGAGAAATCGGACACGGAAGATAATACAGCAAAGGTTGATGATAAAAATGATGCACAGCAGGGATGCGATAGGAAAGATAAAAGTACCACTGGTGGCTTGGAAGAATTGCGGTCTGTTGATGGTGAAGCAGAAGCGAAATTAACTGGAATGTTAAAGGAAGGAGAAAATAAACGCGACGGTGAATTTCATTATAGTTGATAGCTTTTTGATTATAAGCATATCTGAATGGAAAATGAAAGCACTGAGGAATTTTTATATGCTTTTCCACTGGTAAGATTGTGAAAAACGTGATTCGTCATTGGAATGAATAAAATGTCAAATATAACAGTTTTGTAAAGGGAATCAAGAGGACTGGAAGTCGTTGTCTTAAATAAAGGAATATAGATAATGGAAAATTTTGGAAAATTTGAGAAATCATTTTTAGCAAAGGAATTTTAGGTAAGAGACGCATGGATAAATCACCATCTCCAGCAGCAAAAAGGCAGAAATTTTCTGATGTTATGAAGGATTTAGAAATTGAATTAAGCGAAAAGTTGGAAAATTTAAGTAAAGGCGATCTAGCGTGGATTAATCGAGCACGAAGTGGTCGTATCGTCAAGTGGCCAATTCTCGTATGTTAACTTTATCGTTAAGTCCTGTCGAAGTATTTTCATATTTCTTTGTTCATCTGACCAAGTAATGCGGTTTAGACCGGTAATCAGTTCATCGATTACAAGGGAAAGGTCAAACTTATCCTTTTTCTGGCAGATTTTGAAAGAATCAATAATGTGAATTTTCCTCGATAGGAATAAGCGTTATTGTCACATTCAAAATTGAATTGTTGAATTCCGTCAGTTTTATGCTTCTTAATTTAGTCAATTTGTTGCTTTACTTGGATTCTCTGGAATAACCAGTTATTTGTTGGTTTTAGTTTTATTTGTTTAGGTTTTGAAAGTAGATAACGTCAATAAATCATGTGTTTGCACTGAACTACCTTTGGATGATATGTCGGCTAATGCAGAATGGTAAGCTAAAGTTATTAAAATACTTTGTTTTCACTTATGTGTTAAATATTTCTCGGCAGTCAGCCTCCAAAAAAGTATGACAATGCGAGGCCATCTATCACCATAATAAAATTTTTTGTTTAGGTGTTTAAATTCGGAAAAAACTCGCGTGGTGCAGTTGAAAAATATCTATCTATATGACACAGTGGAAGCAAAAATTGATGTAAGTTATAGTTTATGGATTTTACTTCATTACATTTACCGCTGTTTACGTTAACAATCTTTTCACACCATCTTTTCTTCGCTTTTCTTCACGCAATAAAATCTTCGCTGGTTACATAATTGAAATTTCCCGATTTATGTGCCATTGTGCTTTGATGCTGCTCAGCTATTATTAATTCGAATTTTATTCGTCTTCAATTTCAAACTTTAACGGCAACATTCCAAAATTTTATGAGCTTTTTTTTTGTAAACCGTATTTGAAGGATTTTATTATTTAACGAGATTCGTTTCTGCTTTTTTCTGAATGGATTGCTGCGACTGTCAATTGATTTCCTGTTATGCTTAAGCATGATTAGCAAATCACTGAAATCGTTTTAAGTTTGATGAAATATGCCTATGTCATGTGCACGACATTTATCAGTCTGTAATTGACGGAAAGCGATGAAATTGTTAACTTCCAATTTCCAATGTTATTGGAACAGCTTTAACTAGAATAGTGTAATTAAAATATATTTTGTTATGATTTAACTGTTATGTATTTTTGCATTGAAGGCCTAGTACAATGCAGTATTTCAAACTTATCCAACAAGCAATGCTCATATTTAAGGAGATCGAGGATGCGGAGCTAAAGACAGCTATCCAGCAGGCTGATGAAATAGCTGAGGGCAGCTATCGACCTTTTGATGATGAACGGAACAGTTATGATAAGAATGGTATAATTAAATGTATTTTGCTGCGCTATAATGATGTGTATTGACGTATAAGTGAGACACTGTATCCTATGATCTCTTCAAGTTATCAGTATGCGACTGTATTAGACTTATGAACACATTATTATATGTTTAAGGAATGCATTACACTAGAGGGATATTATTATAAATTGTACTGTCTTTTGTATTGATATATATTAAAATGCCCACTTAATTAATATATTTCAGGAAATTCAAGCATTCGAGAAAATGGATGCAAAGCTGCATCGGTCAATATTTTGGCACCTAAGGAAATCTTACGATTATGCAAGTCGGAAATGTGTGCTAGACATCTGATGGCTATTTGGACTGGTCAGTTTACATGCACACGTCATGCTGGCTATGAACCACCGTTTATGGCACCGCTGCAGTTTGAATTGAATACTGGTTGGTTTGATAAGATGATATAGCAATAATCCATTACATGGCACTCTATGTTTCATTCCATATTTTTAATTCTCCAATTTAAATAAATTTGGTCTTCCAAGAATTGGATTGATTTGTTGAAGTTTCCGAATTTCGATACCATTTTTTGGGTCATAAGAAATTTATGATTTTCATAAGATCTTAATTTTTGTTGGTTTTAATCACATATCAATTTTTTAGGTGATTTATTACCAGAAACGGATGGAATTTCATTAGTTGAACATTTGGATGCAACTGTTGCAAAATTTAAAGATGCAATGAAATCATCGCTACGACGACTTCACTATGTTACGACAGTTGCAGTACCGGAAGCAATCATTTTTGCGATTACACAGGTTTCTTTTTATTGGATACTAATGGCTATGTTGTACACTATTTGATAAAGAAGGATTGAGATGTCACTACGTCCTTTTTATATATTTATTATGCCTGTGGTGTATATTAAAGATGATTTGAGGCAAATTTGTTCTTTTTTTTTTTTTTGTATAGATTTTCATGTTTACAGATTCGCTACTGTTCTGGAAGTGAAGCAAATGAAATTTTTGAAAATGCGTTGCTGAAGACGGTCGAGAAGACTCCTAGTGAGCCGAGTGATGAAATTGGAGCAGCGTAAGCTTTTCATTATTGTTGAACTTTTAATAGGCATTTGAATATTTATCGTCATGTCCATTCTCTAAGCTGATACCCCATTAACTTGCATTTCAATCCACAATCTTCCATGAAAGGGTAGGTGGAAGGTTGTGGATTGAAATGCTAAATCATATGTCATTTTTTTTCTCTGTACTCACAATAAGGAATACAACTACAGATCTGTCATTGACAAAGCATAGTCAAGTTTATGGTGAACCCAACAAACAGATCTATGCTATAAAGAATTTTAATTAGTCTTTGTCCGTTTTTAGTCATTCATATTCATGTAATACAATGAATTATATGTGCATCTGTCGTTGTTTTTCATATTCTTGTAACATAATTTAGTCTACTTTCTTTTTATTATTTGAACTTCAGCTATCGTAGGAAGCTGTTGAAACTTTCTTATTATGATGCTTGTGGACCTAATGTTTGGCGATATATTCTATCATTAGTAGATTATCAAATAAATCATTTGATTAAAGAAGATATGATGGTATGATTAGAGGAGTAGAATTAACTGTAGATTAAGTAATCAAGCCAATTAATGCATGATATAAAGTGAATATTCGAAAATCTTGTATCTGTCTGAAAATAGAGCGAAGCTGGTTTACACCTTACTTTTACATTATATGCATGTAGTCATTTAAGAGTGGTATTTATATTCTGAATAATTTGTCATAAATTTGATGAGTAATTCCTTTCAGAACTGGTTTCGAGCAACTTCTGAAGGCAGCATCCAAAGTGCGATGTGCTGCATTAGGAATGGATTAATCGGAGTTCGAGATGATGGCATAGCATTGTCTTTCTTATACTTCATTCTTCAAATTGTTTATTGTATGTCAAGTACTTGAATGAATCGATTGGTTTTTGTTTCGTTTTTTACCCCATCTTTTTTACTACTCATTGTGCACCTCAGCTTCTCTTGCACGTTGATTCAGAGGATAAGGATCCAAAAGTGCAGTTAGGGCAGTGAAATCTGCAGTGCATTTCTGTTTTCAAAAAAGGTGAAGGGTATTTTGTATCTAAAGTAAATCATTTAAAGTCATTTTAAAATCGTTTAAACTAAATCATTTTTCTTCATTTGATCCCTTTTACCTAATTTAGAATTTAGAGTTTTGCATCTTTTGGATTGGTCCCCTGAATTCGGATTGAAGATTTGTTCAATTTCTTAAAAAAACAATCAATGCACTCCTTTTTTCTTATCAGGAAAGAAAAATTCTCACGTAGAATATCTAATCTTTTCAAGTATATTTTCTCATAAATGTCCTCGACCCTTCTTTCCTGATTCCTGTCCTCCCAGGGAAAAAAGGCATCGGGGATAATAAGGTTGTCGGAAGCAGTTGCTTGAATTTCGATTGCCATCTGTCTAATTATTATTGGTCCAGCTGAGTTTTTGTTATTATTTTCCGATGAATGATTTGGGCAATTGTTTGTATTTTATTACTTTTGATATTGAGGCACGCTGCGGTTTGCGGCATCTCTAACTGCCAATACACTTAATTTATCAAGATATGTACGTTTTTTAATTGGTTTGCAAAATTTGATGGATTACTAATCCGATATATCCTTTCAGGAAAGAGATTTTTGGAATATTTAATTCTTTCGAGGAACTGTTTTCAGAGGGCAAAACTCTGGATCTTGATTCTTTTCGAGAGTATTTGGATACTTTCTTATTTGTTCCTTTTTAAATTTTTTGGGAGGGATGAAATGGAGATGAAGGAAAAAATTTTAGGATGAGCGTTCTTTGGTTAAGTTTTTTCTTATTTAATATGCCCATTCTTAATGTTTGTGTTTCAAACTTTGCTTGCTAAATCTAGATAAGATCCATATTTGCAATTATTGTCCAGATGAAATTGTTTATTTGCGAATCTTTTGTATGGTGTGCGGATGTTTCACCATTCCCTAGAACAATATTTAAAAATTTTAAATGTACATGCATGACATTGGTTGAGCCAGAAACAATTTGATTTTGATTTTTTTTCCTTTTTTTTCTTTTTTTTAATGACTGTGATTAGGCGATAGTTTTGCAGGAATTTTTCGTCAATCTGTGCAATTCATATCAATGCACCCTTTTCTTGGATTGTTAGACAACATAAATCGAGTGTCTTCTGCTTTACAATGAATAAGATGTGTTTTTCCGTTTCCTCATCATTTGCTCTTCCGAATATTTCTTATAAAATGATGGCTCTATTATTATTAAGGATTTATATTAAGATTTACTTGATAAGAATAAACTTAACCAATGAATGCCACTAATATCATGTTTATCACACGCCTTCATATAACAAGCATCCAAATATCATTAGTTATTGATGGTACTAATTATTATTACTGTCATTACTCACGGATGATAGGCTCATTATCAGTCACTCACTGATGTAATACAGTTTAAAAATAATCATCCTGGTATTCATAGATGTAACAATCGTTAACGAAACGTTGCATTTCCCTTGTTTATGTCCAAATTTATGTATTTGCTTCATTAATATGTTTTTTAAAATCATCCCTAAATTGCGAGAGTTAATGATCGGACCTATCTATTATCTAAAGGAAGTTAATATTTTTAATCATCTGGATATATAGTTCAAGTTCCCATCAAATATAGTTCAACTTCCTATTTTGATCTACAAATTTCTTCTCTAGTCATCAAAGAATCAACGATTCCACTCTAATATAAAACCTACATTAAAAAACTTTCATGAACTACAATTTCATTCTATTCATTAATTCTTTTCTGCATTGTTTCTTATGCTACAATTGTTGTAATGGTTTTTATTTTAAAATGAGACGAAAATATGTCACGTGTCATGTAATATTTCAAATTTCGGTTCAAATTTCTACTAAATTATGATATTACATTTTGTTTGTGTGACTTTCTTTTTCAATTAATGGGTAAAATAGTAGTTTGCAGAGTATACGTCCTTCCTTCATTGCTTATCATTTACATTTGCACCTTACCAACTCTAATTGTGAATGATAATTATTATGATTATGGATTAATGTTATGATCATTGTAATTGTCATTGTTGTATTTTTCCTTCTCCAATTTCCTTCATTTAAAAAAACATCACCTCAATTTTCTGCAAATAAATGATTCATTATGACTTATCATGTTCCTTGTTGATTACTTCAGTCGACCGATTATTTACTGATTAATTTTCCCCTATATACTAAGTTTGTATACGTCGCATTGCTGGAGGATATAGAGTTCCGAGATAATCTGTATGGGATACATTAGTTGCGAAGTGTCCCTATAGTTTTTGTGATGCATCGATTGGTTCTGAAAGAAGAGTGTGTGATAAGTTGGAGAATTAGGCAGTTAACTAACGGATTCTGAGGGGACAGTAGGATTGTATGCGAAGGAGCGGGACTGGCTATGTGTAACCTGATTGTAGGCGACGGGAATCGGGATAATTTGAAGCGCTGAACTCTCAGGTGATTATGGAAGGATGACGGCTGTATTCCGAAATGGAAAATTTGCGTTTCGGAATTCCATATCCTGTTGTTATTATCGTTTGCGTTCACGGAATTTATGCTATGAACTTCGTCAACTAAATTAAAAAATTAGACGAGTGAGAAAAAGGATGAGTTGTTAGTGAGGACGGGTCTTCGGTAGGCTACCAGAGCCTTGAAATCCTCTTGCCTTACGAAAACTTCGTCCTTGTCGTAGGATTATCATTTTTAGGTCATCTGATCTAAGTTATGTGAATATAAAAGACTTAAAGCTAATTTTGTTAACTTTTGACTTTCTCGCTCTATTTTACATATTCAGTGTTTGAGAGTCCCGGAATATAAGGAAAAAAGGAACAAATGTTTGATATCTGATGTGAAAATTTTTTGATGATCCGAACATTCATTTGAATGGTTATTTAATGTATGTATGTTTCACAGGATCACTGTTGCTTTGGAATAGGAGAGTATGAGATAGAGAAGATGCGTGATATGAAAAAATGTTGCTGGAAGAGGCAAATATTAATCACTAAACTTATGACTTATACCACTGTTTAAGGTTTCTTGTTTTCTATCAGTAAACTTATGCCACAGTTTAAGGTTCCTTGTAAGGATGGTTTTGGTGGCTGGGAAAAGGGTGAAAATTGTAAAGAAGCATAGACGTCGCTTCACAAGGCATGAATCCGATCGTTACCATCGCTTGCGTCCAAATTGGCGTAAACCAAAGGTTTGTTTTGGCATGCTCATTTTTCCTCGAGAGAGGGAAAGAAATTATTGTTTATCTTTTTGCTGTAGATTAGTTGAGTTGTAGCTTACCAGAATAGTTGTGGATTACCCGCAATTTGAGTATTTCATGAGATTGGAATATTTCGTTGACTTAATTCTTTCTGTGGATAAGGCTAAAATCTGCCATATTTCTTAAAATGTGCTAGAGGGAGGAGAATAGGTTTCTTTTTTTTTGTGAATCGACCTAAATATTGCACGGCTACTACTATTCGCTGTTACAGCGTATTTTCTCAAAAATTAAAGTTCCAGCAGTTACGAGAGTTGTCAAGAGTCAGTAAGATTACCTTACTGTCAGAGACCCTAGTTGTGGTTTATTGTACATGCATTATATGTAAATATTGAAAAGTACTTGAGAACCAAAATAAAAACAAACACTTTAAAGGGTATTGATAATCGTGTTCGAAGAAGGTTCAAGGGACAGCGCCGCATGCCGAAAATTGGTTATGGTAATGCCAAAGTGACACGGCATATGCTGCCAAACGGATTTAGGAAAGTACTGATACACAATGTTAAGGTTCATTTTGCCTTGTCTTTTGTTTACCATTATTTGTTGATTTCCTTAGAAGTCTTTTGTGAATACTTCGTATCACAAGAGCGCCCAAGCACACGTTTTTCTTTCATTTCACTTATGCAGCCGCACTTTTATTCTTGCTTAATGAAGTTTAGTAGAATTCCGCCGATTCTTAGTGACCTGCATTGATTGACAGTTCCGACAATTTGGTTAAATTTCGACAAGAGATAAGTAACTGGTAATGATAATAGATTGGTGGACTTTTAGGATTTGGACATGTTGTTGATGCAGAATAAAAGGTTTGCTGGTGAGGTGGCGCATGGTGTATCATCGAAGAAACGGAAGAGTATTGTGGAACGGGCGCAACAGCTTAATATCAAACTGACCAATGGACATGCAAAAATCAGATCTGAGGAAAATGAATAAACTGATTCCATTAGAATCAAATGGTGGGGGTGGTTGTTAAAAAGTAGATTTAGAACATTTTGTTCGTTTTTTACTAAAGTGGAAATATGGAAAGAAATCCTGAGAGTTTGGTTTTTTTTTCGAAGATGTTTTTTTTTTCTGTTTCATATGTCGCGTTTCTTGGATTTGTTAAGTAAAATCAATTATTGTTATGTGTTTGTTTCGAATTACATAGTGACCTAATTTTTCGGGGAATTTGTACAAAGCGAAAGGAAGTTCTTCATTTATTTCGTTGTTCCATTTATTACAGCAGTTAAAACGGAAATTTTGAAGTAACATTGGACCGACTTCATGAGCCATAACAAGGTCTTTCGACTCACTGCAATTATTTATGGAACAGTTATAAAGGAAATGCATCCACATTTCACAATTCAAAAACGAAACCTACGATTCACTTGACGGTTCCGCCATATCGTTATGTTATTTATGGAACTGAAAAAGACAGACGCATCAACAGTTCACGATTTAAAAATAAAACCTACAACTGAAATTTCAGGAGAACAAGAGGCTGAGTTGGTTGAGACATGCCTTTTGGTCGGATAATAGAAAGCCGGTTGCATTGGTCGGTAGGACGAAAAAACCGGGTGTGTTTTTGTTACGGATAAAGCCATAGGCAAAACTTTCAACACTACTGGCTGATTTACCTATCGCCTTGGATAGTCAAAATCACTATTAATGAATCATTCTCGGGAAGTACGTATCCTTCAGTAGTTTTTGCGGCTAGAAATGTAACACCTTTAACCGCGATCTGGATGCTATTACCTATTTGTGATTTATATATATGGTTATCTGTATATACAGTTCGATTACACTAAAAGAGGAAACAAAATGTACAGTTGAGAGGCTTGATGGAAATAATGTTCAACAAAGTTCGTACTGGAAACTCCTAATCTTCTGAATAAAATAAAAGGAATTCATTGTGGTGACGTATGCGAAGATCGGCGCATCGTATTTCCCGACTTGATAGCGGCTTCCTGATTATTGTTTTTGACAACATTCTGCTCCTAAAACTGTGAATACCGTCTTTCGAATTATCAAGCTTGGCAGAGATATATAAAAATCCAAAGCTAAATTGCTCCAGAAAATCAGACTTGAATAATGAAACCTTCGTAAGTTCATTTGCATGGGCACTAATAGGACTCGCAGATTTCGTATATAGCGTAATCTTCGTCTGATTCAACACCTGAGATAAGGATTTGCGATGATGCAAAAGAGAATTCTTACAAAGTGAAGCGTTTACCCTTTCGTGCGACCGATTGTTCTCGCCCAAACCTGCAATTGCGTGTAACTGCAACAACCAATCCAAGTCAGCAGCGAACTACTTGGAAGCATTAAAATCTTAACAAAAGCGACCACTAGAGTAGTCTTTAAGAATATGGCATCCATAAGATAATGAGGTGATGGTATGAATATGCAGGTACCCAAACTAAAGAAATCTGCCAGAAATCTACCATTATGCGATTTCGCTCAGTAAGATACTGAAAATTAAGTTTTCGTAACCTGAGAACTATACTATAAAGCAGAAGTCAGGTTATTTACCTCCTTTAGTGATGACATTTGAAGCAGCCTTCAATAACGGATTTATTTCCTTCACTGGAGTGCTTTCAACATGCAACTCAGCTTTCTGGAAAAACAGTGAAACTTGAATGTTACAGTGGTAAAAAGGGTAACGGAATTCGCCAAGAATGTTTCTTGATGCATGATTTTTGCGATGTTGGAAAAGCAGCCAGCCAGTCCTCATCAAGCTTAAAAATGGATAAATAGATCAGTAAATGATTACCCTTTCCTCTAACTTCCATTTCGATATTTCCCGACGTCTTTTGCACAACTCATCGTCATCGATTTCAACATTTTCAGTGTCGACAGTTATGTTATCAATTTCTTTATCTTTATCTGCATTCTCGCTTTTTGCTAGACGTAATTTGAAGCGGAAAGTGCGATCTGTTTCGTCCGTTAGATCGCCATCAACAAGAAGCTTATCCTTCCAATACAACAGCTTTCTATTCTCCTCATCCTGAATTCAGAAACTCAATAATTTCATACATTGACACGGATATAAAAAGCAAACGACAAAAAGTCAACTGCATCCCAAAAATAATTCAAAAGTAGAACGAAAGCACGAAGAATCTTGCTTGTTGCTGTTTTAACCACTGTTTATGAAGTTGTTCTCGAATGGTTTCATCGTCTGGAAGCTCATCATTATCTCCCTCCTCAGCCTCATAAACATCCAGCTGATCTTCATCATCATTTTCATCACTTCCTACGTCATCCCCTGATAATGAAGCCTCTTCGTCGATATATTCGAGTCTGAAATGGGTTTCCTATGCATTCTATCTGGAATCACACTCTTCGCATACAAAAATGAAAAATATTAACAGTACAAACAAAAAAATCACAAACCTCTTTCGCCGTTTCCGTGCCATCTCCAATTTACGAAATACTTCCAGTTCATCATCACTAGAACCTGCTTCTTCCGTCCCTTCAACCTGCTGACCCTAAAAGTGTTTCGTTTCTGAATTCGTGAGTGAGTCAGCCTATAAAGTGCTAACATCCGGTAGATCAGCTCTTAAGTGATGGTTTTGATCAGTACACTTATACAATACCGTACTGACGCTCGTATAAGTTTAATGATCAAATGTACCTACATCTCTTGCAAAGGCCTGAAATGTATTGACTATCCTAGTCATATGGCGAAGCTCACCTACATGATGAAGCTATTTTATTTTTAAAACTCAAAATCCAAAGGAATAAAATTGTAACCTCCTCGTCGTATGCTTCATCAATCGATTGAATTACATCTCCCTTATGACCATTACCTCTGTCACTGAGCAGAAGGTTGTCCTTTTCAATAACCTTGAACTTATCGCTTCCGCTTAACGCAGCATTAACATAATCAGAGCTACTTTCTTTCTTGTATTCTGAGATGCGGAGAGCTTCAGTATCTCCATCGACAGTTTCAGGATTCTGAACATTTTTCACTGACTTCGGAGCACCTCCGCATTCCTTTTTTTCATCTTCATCGCTACCATCGGGTGAGAATACTAAGCGGCGCTTTCTAGGTTTTCTATTTCGTTTGATTAATTCATCTTCGTCATACATGTCGTCATCACCATTGACATCTATCAAAACCCTGAGTTGACTAGAATTAAAAGGTCCTTCCAAATTAACATCCATAACCTCATCATTAGTATCATTATTACACCAGCTTTTTTAGTTATCAAAAGAGGTTTTTTAGTCAATTTTTATTTTTAGTTATCAATTTTTAGTTATCAAAATTTTTTAGTCAATTTTTAGTTATCAAAAGAGATTAGAATAATTGTCTTTTACAGTCCACAGTTTCCCAGTATTTCGAATCATTTTAAGGCATGTCCAGTAGTTCCCATTAACATCGATTACCAGAAAATGCTTCCAAAAGCTTCAGAAATGGACAACCGAAAGAAATTTTCTAGAATTTTGATTACCATAAAGCTGTATCTTCTCCCTCAAAAGACAGAACCGTACAGATTTGTCTGTCTTACAAGGATCACCTAATTTACGTGCCTAAATCAGATAAATTTGAATTCAAATAAAGCGCAAATAATACTCGCGGAATTTGTTATATTCTTCAGTCTCGCTGTCGTCAGGATATTCGAAAATACCAGAGCAATTTGCCGCAACATCATTTAACAGTGCATCCACCAAACTGGCTGAACCTCTATCGCTTTCTTCCGAATCTATTATATGGAATAGTTCTATATTTAATTTTATAAAGTAAACAATTGCTCAAAAACTAATCGTCCTTCGTAAAGTTTTAAATTAGGGGTCTCATGGATCATAAACCAATGCTGTAATATCAGTCCCTCAATTAGACAGCGGAGATTTAAAGTTTACAAAAGTAAACTCATTGTTTAAATCAGAAAAACAAATACTGAGCCAATAGTAAAGATCAATGCAGCAACCTGTTGTTTCATCCGACAAATTGGACGAGTCTGTTTCGTTGTCTGGTAAATAATAACTGAAATTAAATAATTTCAAAGTAAGAATGCAAACATTTCTTATAGTTCCTCTCAAATAATTTAACATCATTATTACGATTGTACTTTTATACTGTGGTTAGTGTTTCGTAAATACTGTGGTGACTGCAGCAAGAATAAGTCTAATCTCCGAAAAATGTACACTACAGCGCACTAAAGCTAAAATGAAATCTGGTACTACGAATTAAAAAATCTATCGTGAAGTGCAACCGATCTAGGTGCTGAGGATGATAACCGCTCGAATTCTTAGAAACTATTTTTAAAAACTCGCTTTTTTGCAGAACAACCATTAATTTCCCATCGATAAATAAAGAAGGAATAATTAGAAATCCCAAACGCAGTATAAAAAGCTTGCTTTCCCAGCAACATTTTAATATTAGTATGAACGGTGACAAACCTCGCATGATTTTTACGTTTCATCAGATTTTCATAAGTTTTTATTCCCGACTGCAACCAATCCTTCCGCCAATCTTCGTCAGATGTGTCTCCCTAAAATTTGATGGGAAAAATTGGATTATCAAAATCTGACCGGCTCAGTTTTGTAACATTTCTGATTATTTTAATGACACAGGGTTTATCCTAAAAGAAAAAAGATATACAAAAGCCTTTAGGACGAAAATGCTAGCATTGTCTGCAGTTACATCTCCCTTCCTCTCCTCGTTTAATTCGATATTTCCATTTACCTTTGTAACTTCCCCACCAGTTTCATTATTTTCATTTGCGATATTTATTTTCTTTTCATTTATTCCATCTTCCTGGCTAACTGTCTTCTGATCATCATTATACGATTTAGCCGCTTTGTGTTCTGTCAAATCGCATATAGGTTCTTCCTCCTCTTCCTTCACGACTGCGCTATTCTCTCGCGGTTTCTCGCCAGAATTCCATTCCGATGCTTTACTTTCTCTATCGTTACGCTTGCATACATCCTAAACAATATCAGGAATAATTTAAGGACAGACATAAATCACTGTTACTGCCATATCGTTATAACATTTTTACCTATCTCAATAGCATACATCGTCAAATATTTTAATAATACTCTCTTTGGAAAATTGATGCAATGGACAAAACAAAATTAGGAAACAAATATAAAATACCATACCGATCTGTCAAACATTATGCCGTTATCAGCGTCATACAACGCTCTACGTTTCTGCTGGCCATTTCGACGCAGTTTTACCAACCGCTTCATCAAAAACTTCTGTATGTCTGTTCGTGTAGTACCTGTATACAAAATGATATAAATTTTCTGAAAATAACAAAGCATGAATTACCCAACATGAATTGCCAATGACTACAAAAGTTAATATAAATCATTTCTCGCGAAGATAATGGATTGACAACTTACCCAGCGCTACTTGAGAGTTTCCAAAATTTTCATCACTGAAAAAAGAAAGAATAAAAAACTGGCAGTTGTTAAAAAGTCAGAATTTTGTATAAGTAGTGGCTGTAAATAAGAAAAAAATTAAAAAAATAAGAATACCAATTAATAGGGTGAGCCCCGCTTGGCTTGATTTTTTGCAGAAACCACTCATCGTCAGAATTTGACTTTTCCTGAATACATTCCAGTTAAATTTCAAATTCCAATTTTCTAATAAGACTTCTAGCGGTTAGTTTCAATACTTTCTCCTTCACGCTCCATTAAAGCAGCCTACGTCCATTACAAAAATTTGTGATTAATGACACGTCGGAATGTGAAGGTAGAGATTGATTATCGTCATTTTAAGCATTTGTAGTGTTTTTTTCATGAATGGCATTAAAAACAGCAATCGAGAAAAACTGCCGAATGAACATCCTTACTACCAGCAATAATAAAATAGTTTTGTATGCTATTCGAAATCAAAACTGACTTCATTGGTGGCCAAATCAATTGTATCTTCATGTGTGATTTTCGGCTGACACTTGAGACCTTGTGAAAAAAGGTCTTTTAGAAGCCGGCGCTGTGCAGTCGGGACCGTTTCTGTTTTCTGTGGTTGAAATTTCGGGCTTAATGAATTCTCATTATTCGACAACGATGGCGTATTATCCTTCGATCCACTGCTGTCCGATAACAATTCATCCGGATAATGGCGACTGAACAATGAACCGCTATTACTGTTACTATCGGTATCAGAGGGTGTCTTCGGCGACGTCAAATGACCATCATCCGACATCACCAATATAGTAGATATACCTTAACCTAATCAAATATAATAACTCCTCCGTTATTTATAATTAAATAAGTGGAAGTAAACGAACAAACAATAGATAAATAGGTAATTAATAAATGAACAAACAAATATCAGGTAAACAATAAATAAATAAATGATAAGTAAATAGTAAATGACTAGGAAATAAGTAAATAAATAAATAGTAAGTAAATAACGAATAAGTGAAAAATAAATAAATAGCAAACAAGTAAACAATAAATAAACAAACGAATTAATTAACTGATTAAACAAGTAATAAATAAATGGATAAAGCGAAATAAATAAATAAACAACCGCACTAATAAACAAATGATTAAATGTGCAAAAAATAAATGGACGAAACAAATAAATCGACAAACAAACAAACAAATAAAGAAAGAAAGAAAAAAAAACAAACAAACAAACAAGAAATAAAAATTAAACAAATAAGTGAATAGCTAAATACATAAGCAAACAAAAAGTAAACAAATGGACAAATAAATAAATGAATAAACGAACAAATAAACAACAAATAAATGAATAAATAAACGGATGAATAAACAAATAAATGGACGAATATAGAGCAAATAAACAAAAAAATAAGTGAATAAGCAAATGCATATATGATGCGCCTTAAACATAAAATTTTGGATTTCAAAATTATTAGGATTTTAAGAAACATTAATTTAACTATTAATGTTACTATTACCACTGTTATTATTACTATCACTATTATTGTTATTATTATTACTGTTATTATAATTATTATTATTATTATTATTATTATTATTATTATTATTATTATTATTATTATTATTATTATTATTATTATTACTATTATTATTATTATTATTACTATCATTATTAATATTATTATTATCATTATTATTGTTATTATTATTACTATTATTATTATTATTATTATTATTATTATTATTATTATTATTATTATTATTATTATTATTATTATTATTATTAATATTATTATCATTATTATCATTATTATCCTTATTATTATTACTATTATCATTATTATTATTGTTACTACCATTATCATTGTTATTAATTACTATTGGTACTACTACTACTACTACTACTTATTATCGTATTATTATTATTGACATTATTGTTACTTATTATAATTAACTATCATTATTTTCATTATAATAATTCGTACAAGTTCTGGCTAAT